GAATTTTTTTGGATTTTTTCATTAATTTCATTTTTTTTTAATTCATAAATTTTTATCATTTTTATTATTTTTCGGTGTAACAATCAACATATACCGAACCGAAAACCGTGACCACGAAACCGTGAACCGAACCGTGGATTTTGTGAACCGTTCCACCCTTAGATCCTATAGTCACTCTATTACAGATGGAGTATTGTAACTAAAGTAAATCCTCCCTGGGATTATTAAAGTATTTCTGATTCCTGGTTGATGGGACAGGTGTTGTGAATGAAACTGTGCCCACCTTGAAGGAGCTCCTGTGTGTCACTGAATGTTTGCATTGATGACTGAAAGACATCTTCTGCTTCCATTTATCTCTTTTGCTACAGAGTGTTGAATTCATGCTAATGTGGATTTAATTTTTTTTTCAATTAGTAGGGCCGGGTATTTTCGCCAAAGTCCTGAATTGATTCGATTTTGATTCATACAGTTCTAAATCGATTAATTTCGATTCGATCTGTTTTTACAATAACGAAAGCGGTTCAACTGTGTTTCAAAATACTCGTGTATTTTATTTTTTTCCTGTCACATTAAAACACCAAATGCAAACTTGTAAATCAGACAGTTTAAACTTGAGATGTGAACAAAAGTGCAAACTTGTTTGTGAAAAGCGAAAAAGTGAAGCCTCACTCGAGCAAGCAGATGTGACACGGCGGGGACACAGCAGACATGCATGAGCTGCATTATCTTCAATGCACAAACCATATTTGCAGCATTGTCTGTAACAATTACAGGGTGTTTGCTGGTCAGCCCCCATTTGTTAATGTCTTCAGTCAACCTATAGGCTATATACGCGCGTCACTATAAAACTAATCAATCTCATTCCCTAGACGTAGATTTTGCAAAAATGTAAAGGAATCGATTCAAAATCAATTTTTTTTTTACCCAGCTGTATTAATTAGTGGGAAAAATGCAGGGGGGGGAATAAAAAAAATTTGTAATCAAAACTTTCTCGACCCTCATGTAGCACCTCTACGGACCCCTCAGGGGTCGTGGACCCCCTGTTGAAGACCTCTATGGCTGGAAACAGAACAGGAGGATTAATCAGAACAGATCAGTCATCATGTTAGGGTCTCCTCCAGATTATTATACAAACAGTTACTGACTAAATGTCATCAAATTACACTAATTGGACTTATACACGATTTTGTAACATTATTATTGCATCATGACAAAAATAATCAAGGGGTGTGGAGACTTTTACAAAGCAAATATTGAATTTTAGTGAAGTGTTGAGATTAGCAGCAGTTAGCAACCCGGTGTTGTTTTTAAAACAATTAATCTCTGTTTTTTGTTCTTAAACATCAGCTGGAGCTTGAATCCGTTCCGGCCCCAGCTTCTCCTCTACGCCCAGGACCGAGCTCTGATGTGGGGCCCGTTAAAAACACCAGCTGGCTGCTCGCAGTATGATAACGGTTCTAGGTGTGTCCCACTGCCAGCCTGCTAACCACAGCTAACCGCTAACACGAACCCAGAACCTTCGGGTCAGAACCCAACATGGCTCCTGTAGCCGGATCACGGAGGACCCGGGGTGTCTGTCACACACCGATGAACTGCTCTGACCCGGCTGAAGCGGTCCAATCAGGTTCCGACACCCAAACGAATCACAAAGAAAGGCTTGTTGCGCTAGCTGTCTGTTAGCCTTTAAGATAACAGCGACAGAAAGACGCCCTACCTTTGAACAGATAGTCATACTCATCGTCTCTGGTGCCCATCGTGGTAACAAGACGCGGTTAGTCCAATATTTGATTCTTTAATAAATAAAAATCAGGAATATTTCTGACTCTCCAACGGGAATCTGTTTGGAATCTGGACGTTCCTGCCGTCTTCTTCTTCGCTAGAGGCCAATAGGAGGATGAAGACTCCGACACCTGGTGGTCAGATGAGTGAACTGCATGTGGTGAGCCACTGAAGACATTGGTGCTCACGAATGTATTATCATTTTTTCTACACTTTGTTGACAAAATTCAGTTTATTTATATAGTGCAATTCACAACACATGTAATCTCAAGGCAATTTACAGTCCATTTGAATCAGTTTTCTTCTTCTAAGGAAAACCAGTTGATTGCATCGACTCATTGACTCTTCAGCAATCCCTCACACTAAGCATGCTTGTAGCGACAGTGGAGAGGAAAATATTCCCTTTTAAAAGTAAGAAACCTCCAGCAGAACCAGGCTCAGTGTGAGCGGCCATCTGTTGAGGCCGACTGGGGTTCAAGGAGACAGAAGCAGAGATACAAAAGGCAACCGTAAAAGGCGGCCCGGTCCTGAAAACACACAGCCAGGTAGACGAGCTCCGATCCAGCTCCCATGTCAGAGGATGAAGAGAGCACATCCAGTTAGTCACAGTCAGAGAAACAGGGCTACACTGAAAAACAGGCCAATCTGCAACATCTTTAAAAAAGGTGTTAATGGTAGCAGCACAGCTGATATTTCTCTCCAGGATGGAGTCACAGCCAAACAGGAGCGGATGAAGCTACCGTACTATGAGAAAAAGCAGAGAGAGTAGGATAATAGAGAGTTAAGCAGAATGATGAAAAAGGGGTCCCTGTGTCCTCCAGCAGTCTAAGCCTATAGCAGCATAACTATAGAGATAGCTCAGTTTAATCTGAGCCACTCTAACTATAAGCTTTAACAAAAAGGAATGTTTTAAGCCTAGCCTTAAAAGTAGACATGATGTCTGCACCCTGACAATAAAAGTTGTCTAAGTCTTTTTAACACTTTTTTTATTCTAATTACAGACCTGAAAACAGCTAAATTGATATTCTCCAAAAGTATTGATGTCTGTATTTTATTCTATTTAAAAAAAAAATTGGACACCGTAATAATGGCAGCAGCAGTCAAACTGGTTCTGATTCGTGAGCACCAACGTCTTCAGTGACTCACCACACACAGTTCACTCATCACCTGAACCTCAACATCTTGTTGGATTTATTATCTTTTTCCACAATCACTCATCTGAGTGGAAGTGTTGGTCTAGTGGGTTAGAGCAGTGCGCTTGTTGTCTGAGAAGGTTGCAAGTACCCCGTTCAATCCCCACAGCCTGACCTTTAACCCCACACTGCTCCCCGGACACCGCAAGATGGCAGCCCACTGCTCCCCAAGGGGATGGGTTAAATGCAGAGGTAAATTTCTCCAATGTGAGATCAATAAAGTTACATTATTATTATTACCGTATATCATTTTCTGTCCAATAGAAGAACTATAATCGTTTCAGATACTCCAGCTGACAGCTCTCTCCTTCCAGACAGATCCAACGTCTATGAAGGTCTGTTAACTGCAGACTCAGTCACAGAGTAGGACAATAATCTCATTAATAACAGGATACATTTTATAACAACTTTAGTTTCTTTCATGTTTATTTTTACATTCAAGGAAACTGAAAAACCTCACTGAAATTCTTTTACTTTCTGATAAAAACAGAGAAATGAAACTTTCCAAACAGGAAATAATCGTCAAATAGAAATAAACGAATAAAGAGAGAAGATTTTAAAAATACAAAGTAGGCTGAATAAGTGGTGAGCTTTTGGGCCTCAGGTTACAGTGCATCACTGAACCACAGATCCAATAACAATGTCAATAACAGGCACAACCTTCTCTTTTATCAACATTTCTATGTTGTTTCTATAACTTTTCTCTTAGTTAAGGGTCGAAAACACTTAAATGATAAACATATATTTTATGAAGCAGGTATTTGGTCTCATGGACCAGATAGCTCAGTTAAAAATAGCCATAATAATGATGCCAAGCCGGTATCAGTACACTGGAAAAACGATCTAGAAATAAGTTACAATTTCCTAAATTAACTGTATTTACCCTTAATTTGAATATGTAGGTCAATTAGACAGTTTGCCAGTGGAATGAGTATTTTTACTCTTAAAATAATTTGATAATATGCATTTGAAATGTCACAGTCTTGGTTTTGTTATGTTTATTTAGAGTATTCAGTTTTACTTTGCTCCTTGTTTTAGTGTTTAATTATTATTTTGTTGTTTTCTTGTTAGTTCCTGTCTTCCAGGTTTTCCATTTGTTGTCCTCTGCTGCCCTCTTGTGTCCTCTATCCCTAGCTCTGTTTTCTGCTCTGTCCTCACCTGTTTCCAATCCCCTCGTTAGCCCTCTCTTTGTCTCTGTCCCCTTTAAAAGCCTCCCTCTTCAGTTCTGTTTGCTGGATCCTTGTCTAACGTCTGTCTGCTTACCTCGTCTCTCCCTGGCTCCTAGAGTTTGGTTTCCCCTGATGTCTCCTTGGTTCTGGTTTGTTTGTTATTTTTGTTGGATTTTTTGATTTCTGCCTCTGTACCTGAGAACCTCATTAAACCCACCTAAATTCACCTCTGCCTACTTGCCTCTGCTTTTGGGTCCTCAATCCAACACCAAATCGTGACATAAAATAAGACAATGCAATTGTGTTTTCTTATTTTAAGTGTAAATATTCTTGTTCCATTGGCAAAATGTCTATTTTACATCTTAAATCCAAGAACAATTGAATTTATTTTAATTAAAAAAATTGTTTTCTAGATTTTGATTTTTTTTCCCAGTGTATCGCGTCGATACTTTAGTGTCAGATTAACTGGACTTCACTGGAAAAACGATCTAGAAATAAGTAAAGATTTCCTAAATTAAGCGTATTTAACCTGGATTTGAGTAGGTAAATTAGATAATTTGCCAATGGAATGATTGTTTTTACTCTTAAAGTAAGATAGTTAGATAATATGCACATTAAATAAGACAATTCAATTTTGTTTTCTTATTCTAAATCGAAATAGTCTTCTTCCATTGGCAAAATGTCTCTTTAATTTTCTAAATTTAAGAACAAATGCACTTATTTTAAGAAAAAATGACTTATCTAGATTTTGATTTTTTCCAGTGTTGCTTTTCTGTCTCAGCATGAAAAATATCCAAAATATGATAGTTTTCTATAGTGATTTCTATAGTGCCAATATAATGTTTATGTTGGACAGTTTTTTCCTGTTAATAGAAACACAGTATTTACAACAAACCAAGCTGTTATAATCACCCTAATCAAGCAGCAGAAGTTTAGTTCTTCTAATATTCTTCTCCGTGTCTTTTGTTTCTGTTTTGTTTGTTTTTTTCTGGATTTGTAATCCAGTTTCAGTCATATGAAGAGTTTACTTTCATTTTAACCTCTTCAATATTCACAAGTCAATTCAATGGTTGGATCCCTAATCATGGAGTCTTGCTCCATGGAATGACGGAGGTCTTGGCAGATGGTATATTGCCTTAATTTCAGCTCAAAGTGTTTAAAAGCCTCTTTGGATTCTCTTTGATTATGGTGAAGGTGAGGTCCCTATGTTACAGCTCATCAACAAACGTTCCTTTCTCTTTTTCCCCGGAGGAACTCAGTTTATTTCTTCTTGTAATCAGGGCGGAATTTCTTCCACTTAATGTTCTGCAAACACAAACATAAAAAAAAAAAAATCAGGATTTTTCCTTCAAGAATATTAGCAACACGTTTAGCTCTTTTCATTCTTACATTTTTCCCCCAGGAGCTTTTGGGCTTCTTGTTCTTCATGTCTTCCACCGACTCGTACGTGTTGCTGTGGCTTGTTGTGTCGCCTGGAATCTGCTCATAGGTGTCATCTGTCATCATCTTCGGCCCCTGAGAAACCTCAGCGTACATGTTGTCTCCCTGCTGGCCTGCAGCTCCTACAATGGGGTCAGAGGACTGGTACAGAGGGTTGGATCTAAGCTGATCCTGGCTGCCATTCTCTGAGTCCGACCTGGAGCTCTGATGTGATGTAGCTTGAGAGGGAGAGTGGAGGGAGTATGTTTGGCAGGTGACCTTCTTTGGTGGGAGGGACGTTGTGATGGAGAGGCTTTTAAAGTGAGTGGAGTGCTTGTCTACCTCTTCTTCTTCCTCCTCCTCCTCCTCTCCCTCATCCTCATAGTTGCCAAGATATGGCAGGGATTGGCTCCTGCTTTCTACCTGATTCAGCTCAGCACAGGAGACATCTGCTTTGTGAAAATTATCTGAATCCTTTGAGTCTGTTGGGAGCAACGCGTCTCTGTTAGAGGTTGGTTTGGCCTTTCCACTGATTCTCTGCACTCTGTTGGGGGTGTTCTGGACTTCCACTGGATGGACCGTCGTGTCTGGTAGAGATCCACTAAGAGAAAAACCCAATGGCATTCCTCTTTTCGGTACCGGGGGAAGCGCCTGAAAATAAAAGAGGAAAAAACTATTTTATTTCATTCTAATCGATACATTTTTTCATCCATTCGGTGAATTCTAAACTACCATTAAACATCCATGAAGAGACCATTCAAACACTTCCCCGGAAGTGTGCAATTAAAACACAAAACAACAGCAGAACATAGACATCGAACCAAGTAGATACTGTATGTTCTGTCTTTAAACTCCCATGCAGTTTTTGTAAATGAATGGGTCAGGAAACTGGAAACTGGTCAGAGTGGCTCTCTATGACAGATATTTTGTCACCGATTCTGTTCTGACTTTGATGGACAGAATTTCGTAGCACAGCCACATGGAGCAGCATGTCAGGTTTAAGCAGGTGTTGGACACACGCTGTTTCCCTTTGTCCTTGGAAGGGGAAGTCAGAGAGATGTGATCTTCCTTTTGTTCCATTTTATGACTTGTGGACGCTCATGTTCTTCAATGTTCCTATATGGCCAATAAAACCAAAGCAGTGGTGATGCGAGTAACAGCCAAACAATATTCATTTAGCTCTGACCTTCTGACTTGTAAATATGACGTTCAGACCCTATCTAGTTGGAATTTTCAACTCAGTCGTCAGAAATCCCGGCTTCTTGGAGAGATGCAGCATGAATCTCCGTCTCTGTAAAGGATGTTGTCCTCGATTTCTATCTAAATATGTTAAAACTGGAATGAGGATCAGCAACTGCTCCTCTGCTGCCATTGGTCTCATGGGAACATCGATCACCACCTTTAGTCTGGGTACCTACCTTTGGTTTAGAGGGAACTGTTTGTCTACCTCATGGTGTTGAGGAAGATGACCAAAGCACGGTGTTGAAGCATCTGCAGTGGTCAGATTGGGTGAAAGACGAGCCAAATGGTTTTAGGTTAGTAGTTGATCCCTTAACGCTCCTGAAATTATCTCCTTGCTCTTTCTATTCAAAAGGTTACTGAGATTCCAGCCCCTCCCCATGTTCCCAGTAACTCATTTTTGCACATCAAGCGCATGCTGGTAAAGTTCAAGGGTGAAAAAGCAGAAATCAACTAAAATCTGTTTCTTTTTCATCTTATTCCAAATGAAAAGTCTTGACAAATGTAGACCAGTTCAGTGTCACAGTCCTGGTCTTTGAACTGCCCTGGCGAGGTCTGGGATGGAAGAAGACCACCCATCAGGCTGTTGTTATTTAGCTTTAGAATTTAATCAACTTTTGAGTGAGTGTTGGCCTAGTGGTTAGAGCGGTGCACTGTGATTGGAGAAGGGTGTAAGTACCCGGTTCGATCCCAACAGACTGCCACTCTGGGTTACTGAGCAAGACCCTTAACCCCACACTGCTCTCTGGGCTCCGCACAATGACAACCCACTGCTCCCCACAGGGTTGGGTCAAATGCAGAGAATGCAGAGAATTTCTCCATTGTGGAACAATAAAGGAATTTTAAAATATTACATATATTATATTTTTATTTACAATGCAAACTAAATTTCGTTGCTTTGTATTGGTGAGAGTGTAATGTCTAGTCTATTCTATAAAATGGCACAATCTGCTTTTTTACTTTTTATTACAAAAATATGTTAAACCAGTCTCCAAATCTGTAGACATAGATGAGGAGTCAATGCAATCAGATGGATGTTCTTAGAAAGAATCCCTTTTTTCTGTCTGTATGATCTGATTAAATTGTCTCCATAAAGTGCCTTTGTGTTATGGATGGCCTCAATTCTTAAGATCACTGCATTAGCTTTGGTTTTTTGGGTTTATAACAGGTTTATTTCCTGTAGGAACTCCTCTGAATTCAACACCAGCGGCTCAAATATTCAATGTTCAAAAAAATTTATTCTCTAAAAATTTTGTATATTTATTCACAATTTTAAAGAACTAGAAAGATACTCTCTGAGCTCTCTTGTAAATTCAAACTCATGTAAATGAGCAGCAATAAATACATCTGTTTTAAATGGACTGTTAATATTTGATTTAATACAGGGGAGAAAATTTGAATAGCATTTCCTGTTTGAGGAGGAACAACGAGGATGCCTTATTACCACCTTTCTGGTGTTTGTTCAGTCAGCTAAGCTCGTTCAATGTGTTTTTACTATTATCTTAGTGATTCATTGTCTTTATGTTATCTTTTGGAATTTATCTGATTATCTGAGTTAGACTAATCCAGACCAAGTTCTTATCAGGTAAACGGGGACCAGGCGGAGCTAGTGATTAGCTTTACAACTTTGAATACATTAAGTTAAGCTTCTGTCTCCATCTGACCTGGGAAAGGGACGTTGCGTCCACTGACACGGTTCCTGTCAGCTTCCTGTTTCTGGACTTTGGAGGCAGTGAAGGTAACAGTGCTGCAGAAGGCTCATTCCGATGCTGCTGAAAGCGGTGTTTCTTCTCGGGTTCGACCTGGTCCCACAGGGTCCGCAGAGCTTGAACACTGACCCCTAAACTCTTCTTGGCATTGACCACGTCGTACAGATCCTCATCATCGTCCTGAAAAAGAGAGCATCTGTTTCTTTGATCTTCTTTATCTGGCCGTTCATCGTCATGGATAAACTTTAACAAACATTTTTCTAATCAAATTAAGTTTTTTTTTTTCAATTAACTTAAACAATCTTGCTCCTAAAACATACAGAAATTCAATTCAATTCAGTATATTTCTATAGCGCCAATTATCATCATGTCATCTAAGGTCACTATACAGTGACCATTCAACCAGATCATTCAGTCAAATAGATTCAAAGTTTTTTATCTAAGGAAAATCAGCTGATTGCATCGACTCATTGACTCTTTACTCACACCAAGCATGCTTGTAGCAACAGAGGAGAGGAAATTTCCCATTGAACAAGAAAAAAACTCCAGCAGAACCAGAACCAGGCTCAGTGTGAAAGCAGACACAGAAGAAGAGGCACAGATACAAAAGGAAACTTTCAACCAGCTCCACAGGCGGCCCCGTCCAGGAAACACACAGCCAGGCAGACGAGCTCTGAGCCAGCTCCCATGATGAAAGAGAGCACATCCAGTTAGTCACAGTCCAAGAAACAGGACTACACAGGTCTTGATGGCAGCAGCACATATATATTTCCCTCCAGGATGGTGTCACAGCCAAACAAGACACAGACCAGATGAAACTAGTATGATAAGAAAAAGCAGAGAGAGCAGAATGCTAGAGATTCAACTAACAGAGTCTGCAGAGTGGGATAATAGAGACAGAATGAAGCAGAACAATGAAAAGGGGTCCCTATGTCCTCCAGCATCCTAAGCCTATAGCAGCATAACTATAGAGATAGCTCAGGA